TTTAGCGTAAATACAGTGTATTTTAGTAATTAGACAATCATCCCTTGACATTATGAAACCAGAGCCTGAAGACAAGTTTTAGAACTCGTTAAGATCTTTCCAACAAGATATTAAACGCTTTCAACGGTACAAAATAGAGCATGATATGATCGCATCACATTCTACACGAGTTCGGAGTAAAATCAGAAACATTTGTGAATATATGGTTAATCTGTAACTTTTAAATAATGCATTGTAAATGAAGTTGGAACAATAGATTTAGATCTCCGATCTATCGTTCCAACGAGATATAATACGCTCCAAACGGATAAACACACAGCAAGATATGAGTGTCACAAATACTTAGCCTTATCTCTATTATTTAGCCTTTTCAGAGAAAATAGAGCACTTTTAGCGTAAATACAGTGTATGTTAGTAATTAGGCAATCATCCCTTGATATTTTGAAACCAGAGCCTGAAGACAAGTTTTAGAACTCGGTAAGATCTTTCCAACGAGATATTAAACGCTTTCAACAGCACAAAAACATTCTACACGAGTTCGGAGTGAAATAAGAAACATTTGTGAATATATGGTTAATCTGTAACTTTTAATTAATGTATTGTAAATGAAGTTGGAAAAATAGCTTTAGAGCTCCGATATATCTTTCCAACAAGATATAATATGCAAAAAACGGATAAACACACAGCAGGATATGAGTGTCACAAATACTTAGCCTTATCTCTATGATTTAGCGTTTTCAGCGAAAATAGAGCACTTTTAGCGTAAATACAGTTTATTTTAGTAATTACGCAATCATCCCTTGATATTTTGAAACCAGCGCCTGAAGACAAGTTTGAGAACTCGGTATGGTATTTTAAACGAGATATTAAACGCTTTCAACGGCACAAAATAGAGCAAGATATGATCGCATCAAATTCTACACGAGTTCGGAGTAAAATCAGAAACATTTGTGAATATATGGTTAATCTGTAACTTTTAATTAATGCATTGTGAATGAAGTTGGAACAATAGCTTTAGAGCCCCGATCTATCTTTCCAACGAGATATAATATGCTCCAAATGGATAAACACACAACAAGAAATGAGTGTCACAAATACTTAGCCTTATCTCTATGATTTAGCGTTTTCAGCGAAAATAGAGCACTTTAACGTAAATACAGTGTATTTTAGTAATTAGGCAATCATCCATTGATATTTTGAAACCAGCGCCTGAAGACAAGTTTTAGAACTCGGTATGATATTTCCAACGCTTTCAACGGCACAAAATAGAGCAAGATATGATCGCATCAAATTCTACACGAGTTCGGAGTGAAATCAGAAACATTTGTGAATATATGGTTAATCTGTAACTTTTAATTAATTCATTGTAAATGAAGTTGGAACAATAGCTTTAGAGCTCCGATCTATCTTTCCAACTAGATATAATACGATCCAAACGGATAAACACACAGCAAGATATGAGTGTCACAAATACATAGCCTTATCTCTATGATTTAGCGTTTCAGAAAAAATAGAGCACTTTTAGCGTAAATAAAGTGTATTTTAGTAATGAGGCAATCATCCCTTGATATTCTGAAACCAGAGCCTGAAGACAAGTTTTAGAACTCGGTAAGATCTTTCCAACGAGATATTAAACGCTTTCAACGGTACAAAATAGAGCATGATATGATCGCATCACATTCTACACGAGTTCGGAGTGAAATCAGAAACATTTTTGAATATATGGTTAATATGTAACTCTTAATTAATTCATTGTAAATGAAGTTGGAACAATAGCTTTAGATTTCCCGTCTATCTTTCCAACGAGATATAATACGCTCCAAATGGATAAACACACACCAAGATATGAGTGTCACAAATACTTAGCCTTATCTCCATGATTTAGCGTTTTCAGCGAAAATAGGGCAGTTTAAGCGTAAATACAGTGTATTTCAGTACTTAGGCAATCATTTCTTGATACTTTGAAACCCGCGACTGAAGACAAGATTTAGAACTCGGTAAGAGCTCCGATCTAGAATGAAGTTGGAACAATAGATTTAGAGCTCCGATCTATCTTTCCAACGAGATATAATACTCTCCAAACAGGTAAACACACAGCAAGATATGAGTGTCACAAATACTTAGCCTTATCCCTATGATTTAGTGTTTTCAGCGAAAATAGAGCACTTTTAGCGTAAATACAGTGTATTTTAGTAATTAGGCAATCATCCTTGATATTTTGAAACCAGCGCTTGAAAACAAGTTTTAGAACTCGGTAAGATCTTTCCAATGAGATATTAAACAATTTCAATGACACAAAATAGAGCAAGATATGATCGCATCAAATTCTACACGAGTTCGGAGTGAAATCAGACACATTTGTAATAATAATAATAATAATAATAATAATAATAATAAAATAACAATAAGAATACCCCTAATAATAATAATAGTAATAATGATAATAATAATAATAATAATAATAATAATAGTAATAATAATAATAGTAATAATAATAGTGATAATAATAGTTGGAACAATAGCTTTAGATCTCCGATCTATCTTTCCAACGAGATATAATATGCTCCAAACGGATAAACACACAGCAAGATATGAGTGTCACAAATACTTAGCCTTATCTCTATGATTTAGCGTTTTCAGCGAAAATAGAGCACTTTTAGCGTAAATACAGTGTATTTTAGTAATGAGGAAATCATCCCTTGCTATTTTTAAACCAGCGCCTGAAGACAAGTTTTAGAACTTGGTAAGATGAAACCAGCGCCTGAAGACAAGTTTTAGAACTCGGTAATATATCTTGTGCTGGAGTGTTGGGAGAGGGCCGCTGGATTGTTGCTGTGCTTCGGGCCCAGATGTGGTCTCCAGGCGAGGCTTGCTGATGCGTGGATGGAGAGGGCTCCAAGCGAAGTGCGGGTGGGCCTCTCATTTGGTGGGCTGCATTCTGGTACCTTGGCCCATGCGAGTTTCTTCCGCTAGTTACTGCAGGACAGGTGACAGGCTGCATCTTGTGGCTTGAGATTTGGGCTTGCTTTGGTTGACTTTTGCTTTCCTAAGCTGGGCTTTGTGGATTGCTGCAATGGATTTTGCTGAACTTGGGCCTCGTTGCTCACGGACAGCCCCTTACGAGAGGGTTATGACTCGTTACTGAGCTGGCTCTTCGGGGCCAGATCAACTTTGGTTACTTTGACTTTTTGATGAATGAGCCGGGGCATGTCCTGTGCCATTCTAGAATGAAAAAAAAACCTTCTCCTCACCCCTGCCGTAAGGCGGGGGGGGGGGGAGATACGGTAGATACTACTTTAGGTTAGCTTGCTAGCTTAGATAGTTTGAATACTTTTTGATGCATTGTATTATGCTAATTTTCTGGATGTATATATTTACATTTTATCCAAAAAAATAGAACTCGGTAATATAAGTTTTTTTCCCGTTGAGAGCGTCTATCTCTAGCGATTTTCCGCTATTCGGGAAATAACACTATTCATCATCGTTTTAGCTCGTTTTTGTTGGTTTCTTCTTGATTTCATCTCCGACTGAGCTTAGATTTTAGTTATAATACCTCCATACGTCTTTGGGGTGTATTATCTCTACATTTTGAGCTCGGATTTGGAATTTTTCAACAAGAAATCCGTCTTCTCCATTTCCGAAACACTATTCACTAGAAAAGGTCAACGCCTCTACAAGGCGTTTCCCTTGATCAAATCTTGATTTGAAGCTGGTTCTAGGTTCGCCTTGGTGTGGGGATTAGACAAATTCAATTTTTTTAATCATCAAGAAAGATTGTATTTTCACCTACTCTAACGGTCATCGCCATTGGTACGGAAGAAGAGCTTGAAAAGGTGGTTTGCGACACTCATGCGGCTTTGTGAGGGGGTTGTGACCTCCTAACTGCCCCCTTGCACATAGTTTAGCTCTATAACTATGCCGACAAAGAAGAAGAAGAAAACTCCCCTGAAGTCCTCCTCTCGGCTTAAGGCCAAAGCGCAAACAAAGGAGACCGAAGAGGTAGAAGAACATGTCAAACCTCAAGAGTGTGAACTGAAGGAGGTGGAGGAAGACATGTCTTGTACTCATTTGATGGCACCTTCCCTTGAGCAGAACTTGGATGAGAACCGTGAGGTTCCTAACCTGGAGGTAAATTCTAATTCTACCGAAGCTATTGAGGTCCTTACTGATGTGTCAAATGAGAATGCGAATGTGGATGGAATTGTGTCCGAAAATGATGATGATTTTGTTGATACTTTGAGTATGGATAATAATGATACGATTGAGGAACGAACTGATTATGTGGTTGACCCCTTGGCTATAGCCATTATAGAAAAGGGAAAGGAAGTGGATGTGGAGGAAATTACCTCTACACCCGTACATGAAAAGGAGGAAGGATCAAGGGAAGAGGTCAATCTTCCATTGAATGAAGGTGCTGTGGATGATAGGGTTGCTGAGGTTCCTAAGGCAGTACCTAAAACTACTCCTTGGATATCCTTATTCAAAGACAATAGAGAGCCGAATAAAGGAATGAAATTGAAGTATATTGAACCGGTGGGGGACTTCATTGATCTTTCAAATAGACTTATCACTAGTGGAAAAACTGCATCTTATAACTAACATTTTATGTGGGTTGGTATACAACCGTGATAGTAGGTAGGCTCGGGGTCAAAATTGCAAAATTTTAAAGTTTATAGCCTTCCGCTAGGCTAAATAATAATGTATTGGCACTCATTTCATAACGGATAATAAAAGAACCGACATTAAATATAAAAACGGGGTCATATTCATAATATTTGGAAAGTATGCAGGTGAAACGGGGTTCTTTTTATAAAATTGAAAAGTATTATTAATGTCGGTTAGAATCTGCCCCTTGTTAAATGTCTTTGCTTTTAATTCCTCTCCTCAGTCCTGACTTACGACAGAAATTAACGAAGATGTACGGCCGGTGAGAAGAAGACCTAGCGCGCAGTACGAGAAGAAGATCGACTTCCCTACCCGGTGACTTCCCGCTGCTCCTCTGCCAGTGACGCTCTATCCTCACCGCCAAACGCCGTCTCCTCGTCGTTGCCTAGCCGCGGTTCCACATCAGTTGCAGCGGGCCGGGTCAGTTGCAGCGGGCCTGGATGCCGAACGCCGCTTCTCCTCACGGCTGAGCTTCGTTTCCACATCCGTTGCAGCAGGACGCCGAACGCCACTTCTGCATCTGCACCCACCGACTCTCAATCTAGGTAAAAACCATTATTTTGCTACACACTAATTATGTAATTATTGTGTATACATTTTTGTGTTTTCATATACACATTTTTCTGCAATTGGTTTGATTCCTTCACATTTGATGTTTAGCTCATATACAAAATTAAATAGTAGGTCTAAGAAATTAAATTTGTAATGCTTATCATGTGTTTGTTAAAATTCCTAAAATTCCTAATTGTATAGCCTAAATGCCAAATATTGATAGGAACTGGAGATATGGTGTTTGATAAAACTCCTCAAAGAAAAATGCAAACTTGAAGTAGTACTTTATTTCCAAGAATGTTTGTCTATTTCTATATCTTCCCTTGAGAAGCCAGTTGTCTGTGGTTAAAGTTGAAAATTAGGATTTCAAGAACAAAAACACATCTAGGAGAGCAACATAAAACATACACGGAGTATATAACAACCAAAACAGCACTTTATGGAGGGACAAAACTGGTAACAAACAAGCAAATACAGAATGAATAATATTGAACAATATAAGTAATACATACATAAACATTCACATCTACAGAACATTCGTAGTCTTCTCTATCACTTCCAAGCAGCACATTTGCTCGTTCAAGATTGATTCAATTTTACATGAGACTCAACAGCACACTGTAATCAATGTTCTGCCCTTTTACCTTTTATTATGAGATGGTCTGGCCCAATTTTTTGTCAAGAGACTGAGGGCTCCAACTCCAGCAGCCATGCCAACACCAAGGAAGAATGAAGGCATGTGTACAGAAGACTTTCGTCTATTGTGCATAACCTCCCAGATTAAGTTTATATCATCGGGGTGATATAAACGTAAGTGTATAGCCAGTGACATTCTCAGATCAGAAGCTTGTTGGGTGCGGTCCACGGTGATAGTCATTAAACAAACAGGACAACAGGCCTTCATTCTCCTACCATCCTTATCTTTTATTATAGAGACTCGGTTTGCAACTGCTTTAGCTCCATCTAGCAACGAATTCTCAACAGGCCTTGAAACCTATACAGGCATGTTGCATGCATTATTAAGGCACAACTAAGATTATTACATTTAACATTATTAGAGGTGTGTTTGGATCTGAATGATCATCTAACTAATTAAGCTTTTGGGGCTTTTGGCAAGTACTCTAGATTTTAGAATCACTTCTTAAATGTTTGTCTATTTCTATATCTTCCCTTGAGAAGCCAGTTGTCTGTGGTTAAAGTTGAAAATTAGGATTTCTATATTTCTAAATCCAATTTTAGAAGATTAGGATTGGTTAAAGTTGTTCCTTGTAAATGTTTTAAGAAAACCTCCGCAAATGTTTGCATTAAAGATGAAGATTTTTATTTACCTGCATCTTTCTATGGGTTTCCCTTGAATGAACCAAACATTTGTTTGTTGAATGTGTCACTGTAATGTGCAACGGTGCAAGTATGCAACTATTAAATGAATTACTTAATGATACTCTCTATCTGTTACAAAAGTACATCTAGAAAATAACAAAAATTAAAAATAAGATGCCAACTTGCCCAAAAAAGGTAGAATATTCTATAGAATATTTGTCTATTTTTACTAGCATCTCATTTTTATAATAACTATTATAATAAATGTTTGGCTAGTAGGAATGTCTCGCTTGTATTATAGTTTTCCATTTATATAGTCTTGTATGAATGCCTTACTAACTCAGTATCTCATTTTTAGAATTTATTGTTTCAGATCTAAAGTAAATTTCCTTCTATTATTATCATGTGGTTTTCTTATGGTTGTATCTGTGTTTGCATGTATTGCAGACATTACGATAATTATTATGGACCGTAGTTGGATTAATTGTAGACGGACAAGTGATGAGTATGAAAATGGCATTGAATCTTTTCTTCAGTTTCCTAAAACGCATCTTCCTGATAACAATGGAAAGTTTTATTGTCCTTGTGTGAATTGTTTGAATGGGATACAATTAGATGTTAATTTAATACGAGAGCATGTCCTTTGTGATGGATTTTGCAAAAATTATACGATATGGATATGGCATGGAGAGCGGCTAAACATGCATAGCACATCATCTCATAGAGAGGAAACTTGTGCAACCAATGTGGGCGATCATTTAGAGGACATGATACGTGATGTTGGCACAGAGCCTTTTAGTCGATCTCGTGTTTATGATACATTGTGTGGTGATTCAGAGACGCCTTTGTATCCCGGATGTACTAAGTACACACGATTATCAGTTGTGTTACGATTGTTCCATCTGAAAGCAAAGAATGGGTGGAGTGATAAGAGCTTCACAGAATTGCTTGTGTTGTTAAAAGATATGCTACCCGAAGGGAATACATTGCCAAACCGCAACTATGAAGCAAAGAAAATATTGTGTCCTATGGGTATGGAGTATAGGAAGATACATGCATGTCCTAATGACTGTATATTGTATAGAAAAGAGTTTGCAGATTTGCACAAGTGCCCGAGATGTGGACTATCACGCTATAAAGTCAAAGACAACGATTCCAATGAAGATGTAATTAAGACATCTGGTTCTGCAGCAAAAGTTTTATGGTATCTTCCAATAATACCAAGGTTGAAGCGACTATTTGCTAACGAAGAAGAAGCGAAGAATATAAGATGGCATGCAGATGAGAGGAAACGCGATGGCATGATTCGCCACCCGGCGGATTCTATTCAATGGAAGAAAATTGATGGGTTGTTTCCTGATTTTGGAAATGAGGTGAGGAACCTTAGGCTTGGACTATCTACAGATGGAATGAATCCTTACGGTAACTTAAGTAGCATTCATAGTTCATGGCCTGTTCTCTTGATAATATATAACTTATCTCCATGGTTGTGCATGAAGCGCAAATATATGATGTTGTCTTTGTTGATTTCGGGTCCAAAACAGACCGGCAATGATATAGATGTTTATCTAAGCCCCCTCATTGAAGACCTAAAAAAACTTTGGGAGGAAGGCGTTGAAGTGTTTGACCGGTATCGAAATGAGCATTTCAAGATGCGAGCCATATTGTTCTTTACCATTAATGACTTTCCTGCGTACGGGAATCTTGCCGGTTACAGTATTAAGGGACATAAAGCATGTCCAATATGTGAAGAAGACACGTGCTACCATCAGTTAGTCCATGGAAGAAAAACTGTATACCTTGGTCACCGAAGGTTTCTCAGACGGGATCATCCATACCGTAGATTGAAGAAAGCTTTTAATGGATGCAATGAGAATAGATGTTCTCCAACCCCCTTGACCGGAGAACAAGTTTACGAACGAGTGAAGGATATCAATGTTGTGTTCGGTAAATAAAAAAAAAGCTACTGATACGCGCATATGGAAGAAGAGGTCAATATTTTTTGATCTCCCTTACTGGCGCATGCTTGATGTGAGACATTGTATAGATGTGATGCACGTTGAAAAAAATGTGTGCGACAGTATAATTGGGACACTTCTAGACATTCCTGGAAAGACAAAAGATGGTTTGAATTCTCGTCTTGATCTTGTAGAGATGGGTATACGAGATAACCTAGCTCCACAACCTCTAGGTAAGCGTATGTACTTACCTCCAGCTTGTCATACTTTGTCTAAACAAGAGAAAATCAATTTTTGTGAGTGTTTACATGGTGTAAAAGTTCCCAATGGCTACTGTTCAAATGTGAAGAGGTATGTGTCAATGAAGGACTTGAAACTGGTTGGTTTAAAATCTCATGACTGCCACGTCCTGATGCAACAACTATTATCAGTGGCTATTTGGGGCATCTTACCCGAGAAATTTAGGGTGGCACTAACGAGGTTATGTATGTTTTTTCATAATATATGTGCCAAAGTCATTGATCCAGGGAAGTTGGATGAATTAGAAAATGAGGCAACAATTATACTGTGTCAGCTTGAAATGTTTTCCCCCCCATCTTTTTTTGACATCATGGTTCACTTACTAGTTCACTTAGTAAGGGAGATAAGATTATGTGGCCCTGTCTATTTAAGATGGATGTACTCAGTAGAACGATACATGAAAATCTTGAAAGGGTATGTAAGGAATCAACACCGTCCAGAAGCATCTATTGTTGAACGTTACGTAACAGAGGAAGCTATTGATTTTTGTACAACCTATATCTCAGGAGTTGAAGCTATAGGGATTCCAAAGTCCCGTCATGATGGAAGATGTAAAGGTGAGGGTGCTAGAGGCTTAACATGTAAGAGCATGCCTCGGGATGATGTGTTTCAAGCGCATCTCTATATACTTAACAATTCTGAAGAGGTTCAACCATATTTGCACACTCACAAAGCTCTAGTGAAGCAAAAAAATCCACGCAAGAGTGAAAAATGGTTGCTGAATGAACACAACAAGACCTTTTTGAAATGGTTCCAAGAGCTGATTTTGAAAGAGGCTAACGTCAGTGATAGACTAAGATGGTTTGCAAATGGAATATACTTTGAAGTTATGTGTTGGGGTGGGTATAACATCAATAAATATTCTTTCTGTACAAAATTCCAAGATGATAAGAGTATCATGCAAAACAGTGGGGTGATGGTTGTGGCAGAGGCCATGCACTTTTCAAGCGCAAAAGATAAAACTCCAGTTATGGCATCAATATCTTACTATGGAGTTATTGATGAGATTTGGGAAATTGATTACACAGGGTTCAGAGAGGTTGTCTTTAAGTGCAAGTGGGTAGACAATAAGAATGGTGTAAAAAATGATGCGCTTGGTGTTACATTGGTGAATTTGAATTCATTAGCGTACACGTCAAAGCGTTTCATCATGGCTTATCAAGCAAAACAAGTGTTTTACGTGATTGATCCTTCTAATACAAGGTGGTCAGTGGTCCTCCAAGGAAAACAGTGATGACGTATTTGAGATTCCGCTATCTACCCCGATGCCTATTGAAGTTGATGATGATGAGGTGGACAATATACATGCAGCTCGTGAGGATCATGAAGAAGGAATATGGGAGAATATTCGTGTTAGTGTATGTACTTGTTTACTTATTTATTTATTCATTTATTTGTTTATTTATTTAGTTAGGTACTTATATATTTATTTATGTTAATACTTGTTATAGATGATAACTATTAATGTTATGTATGTAAACAGGAACATGAATGATCAAGAGCAAAGCGGATCAAGCAACAATAATAGAAAGAAAAAGGGTAGACATCCCACAAAGTTGAAGGCTTTGATCCGCAGTCGTGCGGGTAATTCAATTCTCTTAATTTATTATACATAACTATTTTCATTGTTTACTTGCTCAATTTCTTTTTCATTGCAGCTAATAGGACACTACCTATTGATTTTGATGAAGATGGGAACGCAATGGGTCCAAATAAGAATGCATTTGTTAGTTTCGTGGCTCTCGAGGGGAGGATGAGAGCTAGTATACTACTCCCTAGTTGGGAAGTTGTTACGGAGGGAGTTAAAAACCAGATTTGGGAGGCCATCCAGGTAACTGTTTTCATGTTCAGTTTTGACAACTCTATTTCAGTCTAAAGCTAGATTTGACGGCTCTATCTCAATCTCACTTTTGTATTGTAGCTCACTTTTGACGTCCCTAATACTCATGAACTGAGAAGAAGATGGATATCATATGCTGGTAATAGGTGGACGGGATTCAAGACATTTTTGACATCATCTTACATATTTGGCGATCGATCTGGGGAAAACCCCACAGAAAAGTATCAATGGATAAGTGCTGAGACTTGGCAAGAGTTTGTACGAAGTAGAAAAGACCCAACTTTTCTGGTTAGAGAAGTTTTTCTTAAAGGCTTTGTTTTGTTCTGCAGATGTTTGTGTTTCTAGATTCTCATAAATCCCCTCTGTATTTATTACAAGATCACATTATCTTATTTTGAGAAGATGTTTGTGTTTCTAGTTCCAGGACTATATTGTACTAAAGTTGATCCCATTAGGGTATTGTTACCTTTGACATGGTGCATTATCATCTCTTTGTGTTGTGCATGTAAAACAGGAGCGCAGGAAAAAGGCACAGGAAATCCAAGCTCATAATGACTGTCCTCACATATTGTCCCGAGGTGGATATGACCTGTTAGAAAAAAAACTTATGGCTGAGAAATTAAAAGAATATGAAGAAGCTTCTCTGGCTAATCCTTCATTGGGGCTGAAAGCTCCTTCTCCCATACCCCGTCATGTGAAATGGAAGCAAGGCCGAATCAGACGAACAGGCAAGTATACATCAAAGAGGTCTCTCGAGATCGGAGAAAAAATTGTAAGTCAAAGATTGATAATATTTTGACTGTAAATATAAATTGACTTGTATAACTACCTTAAAAGGGTTGTGCATTTGTGGTTCGCAGGATTCTTTAGTTGAGGAGGAAAAGCAAGGGACCTTTGCTCCCATCGGTCGTGATGATATCTTAACGGCGGCTACTGAACGTCCTGAGCACCCAGGTCGTGTACGTGGTGCTAGAACAGGTGTTGGTATTCTTTCACACTTTGGACCCTTAGCACGTCAAGGTCATAAATCCACACTTTTGACCATAAATGACGTTGATCGAATCAAGAAGGAGATGCAGCAGGAGGTAACACAACAGGTAACAATACAAGTAACACAACAGGTAACTGAACAATTGTCACGAGTATTTGCTCAGCAGCTTCAAGATGAACTTAAGAGAATGGGTTTAACCCAACAACCAGAACTGCACACAGAGGCACGCCGCACTCGTTCTCCTACACATGTCAGTACAAAAGGGAGCAATGCTCCAGAGGATATCTCTGAGTCGGATGATGAGCTATCCCGACTTTATGTGGATACCCCCTTTCACTTAGTAGCCATGTAATACCCCCAAATTTCCCACCCAAAACGTTGATATAATAACAATAAAACTTTTATTTATTGATAATGAAAATTTAAAGAAATACAGCGGAAGTCTAAAATAGGGAAATGGGTGTTACCGCCACATCCGGTCATCTCTCAACCGGACGCACAGGCAACTAAAACATAACAACTAATTTAATAAAAATAAAGTGTTTGTAAAGTAAATATTTATTTCATGACTAGTATAACTAAGGTGACTTCTAATTCGCTCTCGGGCCATGCAAGCAATCAACAATCGACAAAATCATCCTCACCTGCACAAATAAAGTGCAGAAACAAAACAAAGAAAAGAAAACAAAAATTAGCTTTAGAGCTAAGTAAGTACTACCCAACCCCGTAAAATAATCATGTTTGACAAAAATAGATTTTTATATAATGATATATAAAAATACTCACACCATCGAAATTCTTTTCACTTTGATTTTTCTCAAGACTACTTCTTTACAAAAATCCTCAACTTCTCTTTAAAACCTCATAATAACTCTACTCTTTTATTTTCTCAAAATCACTTCTTCTCTAACTTCCTAGTAATTTAGAAGGGCGGTGCTCAACCTTTCGGTAGAGCCCGGTGGACCGTGGTTACGGACGGCCACCCCGAACAAGTGCCGGTACAACAACTGCTCTGTTGGAAACGAAACGACTACCTTAAGTGTGCACACCCCCTAAAAGGGATTCCAAGCCCTCCGAGTAGTAAGTCGTGACGAGTAGTCGGGACTCAGTCTACCAACTACCCCTGAATAAGATATTTTGAATGACTAGGGACTACTACTACCATAACTTCTTCTTAAAAGGGATCATCGATCCAAATATCACTTTAAACTCAAACTATACTTCTTAGTAGTAGCAGACCTAATCACCCTCCACATTTATCCGGACGTGGAAAACCGACACCACGGATTTCTCCCGTGATGCTCACCTCTTATAAAAATGTAAATTTTATCTTCAATAAATAATACTTCAAAAATACTTCTCAATTTCTCTAAAAAGTCTTGAAGGTATTTAAAAATATTAAATACCCCAAAAGTACTTAATTTATATTTCTCAACTACCATATATATAATATCTCTTCAAAAATCACATACACAAAATTCAACAATTCACACTTATTCACATAATGCATAATAAGCATATAATACGAGGAAACAATTTTAGATTGGCAGAGAAACTTACCTCTAGTCCGGGTGCTCCTAATTCTCTTCTTCTACTCCGGTCTCTAAATAATCACCTTTTTAATTAAGATGATATAATTAGTCACTTACTCTTTAATAATTATTTTACTCGATTTTCACCTTTTATTTCATTCTTCGAATTCACTAATTCAATTATTTTATTATCCGCGTTAATCACTTTTTATTAACTAAATTACCTTATTAATTCAGTCGTTAATTATAATAATTGAATTCTAAAATATACGAATATAATTAATTACAATATCAAATTTTTAATTTAATAATCACCTTTTTATTTACTCAACTCCTAAAGCATTTGGTATGTCTTAATATTATATCCGAATTATTTTTAATCTCACTAATCAAATATCGAAATTAGTTCATATTAACATTATTAGCATTAATAAATCCGAATTAGCTAACATATTTTGATTTTATTAATTACTTAAATACTTAATATTTTAAAGTCCGTAATTATGCAAATTTTATATTACTCTACCTTAATTAGTCCAATAATTAGTGAAAACAAAATCTACCAACTTATTTAATCTAATTATGATACCAAGTCCAAATAATTATTTTAATATAATATTCTTTAATGAATGTTTAACTATAAATTCATTTCATCATAAAAAATTTCATTATTTAATTACTTAATTAGTTTTATATGGTCCAATTTAATAAAATAGCCAAGAGTCGACTTTATAAATTAATAACCGTCCATAAATATATTTTGGTTCTACATTTGTCTTAGGTTGTCCAAATATTTATTTTATAATTCATTTTCCTTAATTATTCCTTTATTTTCGTATATCAAATAACCGGTCCATTTACAATTAAATATACTAATATTAATTTTTATTAATTATAAATGGTCCATAATGTCTTAGTTAGTCTTATATTTATCCTAGTTTACTCCAATATTTATTTCATAATTAATTTCGCCATTTACTTATTTATTTACTAATTGTGTACAAATTGGCCCAATTACCATTAAATCAATTAAAAATAGCTAAAAATATTAGTTTTCATTTCTGGTTGGTCCTAATATGTATAATCACACCAGGTATTTAATTTATATTTTTCCAGATTTTATTTATTTCATTTACTATTTTATTTTTAATTTTTATTGCAACTGGGCCGAACTGGCCCAAATTTAATTCTTCTGGCCCAAAATGTCAGGCCCACAAGAGATTTGGCTGGGTGACTGGGTCGTCTTCCCCAGTGAAACGCTGGAAAAACGGGGAGGGAAAAGAAAAAACGGGGAAGAGGCTTACCTCGTCGGAAACGGCCAACGGGGTAGCGGTGCACTCCTCTCGGGACGGCGAAGGCCGGTGAAAGGTTGGCGGCGGCGACGGCGGCTCCTGCTCCTCCGTTTTCTGTCGGGAAAGTTTTCCGACGAAAACTCCGACGAGCGTTTTCTCCCTCATTTCACGACCGTTTTCAATGATTCTTCCTCCGTTGGATTCCTCTCACGAAGGGGAAAGTTTTAGAAGTGTTCTAACGGGTCGGTTTTTAGTATTTCGCTGGGTTGGATTTTGGATTATATACATATATATATATATATATATATATATATACACGTAAGTTTATAGTTGCAGCTTGGGAATGAAAAAAACGCAGGTATCACCTTGATGGTTCCCATTCTTCCGTTATAAGCTGCAGCTCGGTCCAAGTAACGGATGACTCCCCGCTGGTTTTGTTTTTTTTTTTTATTATTTGATTTTAATGCCAATTAATATCATTACACCCCGCCTGGTCCAAGTATTATTACTCCGTATTGCATACGTTATAGCTTTACAAGTATGGGGTGTATATATGTTATGATGTATGTATGTGTGTAATTCATTCCATGCATATATGGGTGTATTATGTATGTATGATTAGTATGTATGCCATTATTATTCATTGTTATTACTACGTAATATGTGTTGTTGTTGTTATTCCTATGTGTCATACGCACATATGAAAGTATGTATTACTAAAAGTTACTTTTAGTATTTTGTGTATTAATATGTTATTTGATAGTGATAGAGTCACCTATCGTAAATTCAATATATTCATCATTTTTTTTAAGTTTGTGAGGTGTCACATTCTATCCCCCTTAAAAGATACTTCGTCTCGAAGCATAAACAACGTCAAAATTCTTAAGTATTACATTCTACCCCCCTTAAAAGAGGGGTTACGTCCCCGTAACCAAAATGTTACCTTAGTCAAATAACTCAGGGTAGCGTTTGCGCATATCATCCTCAGTCTCCCAAGTGGGGTTTTTGGTCAAACAATTTGACCATAAGACATTCACTATTTTGACTACCTTACTTCTAATCTCAACACTCTCTTAAGTACAAAGCATTGTAAGGTCTCTACGCTATCTTAAACATATAAGTCCTACACTAAGGTCATACTCAAGTTCTATTTCATACGCTATCTAATTTGACATACTTCATATATAAGCAAATAACTTTATGAACTTCACAACTCAATAATATAGATCCATATCGTTAAAACCTCACATTCTCACCACGTTCCTAATAGGGTTTTTTTCCTAGTATATTCATTCTCCTACTTTTAGGAAAACATTTTTGAAAATCCCGCATCAAACCCATAGTTTTCGTCAAAGATTTCGAACAACGAAGTTTCAGCACAAGGAGAAATTCCCAGTTGGTTGGACGAGCGCAAAGACTCAATTATGCACCAACCAGCTTAGACTGTTATCGTCTTTGTGACAGAATTTCTCCCTACGACCTATTACCTCGTGTTCTAGTCCTTTCGGGAAAACCAAAGGCTCTGATACCAATTTGTAACACCCCCAAATTTCCCACCCAAAACGTTGATATAATTACAATAAAACTTTTATTTATTGATAATGAAAATTTAAAGAAATACAGCGGAAGTCTAAAATAGGGAAATGGGTGTTACCGCCACATCCGGTCATCTCTCAACCGGACGCACAGGCAACTAAAACATAACAACTAATTTAATAAAAATAAAGTGTTTGTAAAGTAAATATTTATTTCATGACTAGTATAACTAAGGTGACTTCTAATTCGCTCTCGGGCCATGCAAGCAATCAACAAACGACAAAATCATCCTCACCTGCACAAATAAAGTGCAGAAACAAAACAAAGAAAAGAAAACAAAAATTAGTTTTAGAGCTAAGTAAGTACTACCCAACCCCGTAAAATAATCATGTTTGACAAAAATAGATTTTTATATAATGATATATAAAAATACTCACACCATCGAAATTCTTTTCACTTTGATTTTTCTCAAGACTACTTCTTTACAAAAATCCTCAACTTCTCTTTAAAACCTCATAATAACTCTTCTCTTTGATTTTCTCAAAATCACTTCTTCTCTAACTTCCTAGTAATTTAGAAGGGCGGTGCTCAACCTTTCGGTAGAGCCCGGTGGACCGTGGTTACGGACGGCCACCCCGAACAAGTGCCGGTACCACAACTGCTCTGTTGGAAACGAAACGACTACCTTAATACCTTAAGTGTGCACACCCCCTAAAAGGGATTCCAAGCCCTCCGAGTAGTAAGTCGTGACGAGTAGTCGGGACTCAGTCTACCAACTACCCCTGAATAAGATATTTTGAATGACTAGGGACTACTACTACCATAACTTCTTCTTAAAAGGGATCATCGATCCAAATATCACTTTAAACTCAAACTGTACTTCTTAGTAGTAGCAGACCTAATCACCCTCCACATTTATCCGGACGTGGAAAACCGACACCACGGATTTCTCCCGTGATGCTCACCTCTTATAAAAATGTAAATTTTATCTTCAATAAATAATACTTCAAAAATACTTCTCAATTTCTCTAAAAAGTCTTGAAGGTATTTAAAAATATTAAATACCCCAAAAGTACTTAATTTATATTTCTCAACTACCATATATATAATATCTCTTCAAAAATCACATACACAAAATTCAACAATTCACACTTATTCACATAATGCATAATAAGCATATAATATGAGGAAACAATTTTAGATTGGCAGAGAAACTTACCTCTAGTCCGGGTGCTCCTAATTCTCTTCTTCTACTCCGGTCTCTAAATAATCACCTTTTTAATTAAGATGATATAATTAGTCACTTACTCTTTAATAATTATTTTACTCGATTTTCACCTTTTATTTCATTCTTCGAATTCACTAATTCAATTATTTTATTATCCGCGTTAATCACTTTTTATTAACTAAATTACCTTATTAATTCAGTCGTTAATTATAATAATTGAATTCTAAAATATACGAATATAATTAATTACAATATCAAATTTTTAATTTAATAATCACCTTTTTATTTACTCAACTCCTAAAGCATTTGGTATGTCTTAATATTATATCCGAATTATTTTTAATCTCACTAATCAAATATCGAAATTAGTTCATATTAACATTATTAGCATTAATAAATCCGAATTAGCTAACATATTTTGATTTTATTAATTACTTAAATACTTAATATTTAAAAGTCCGTAATTATGCAAATTTTATATTACTCTACCTTAATTAGTCCAATAATTAGTGAAAACAAAATCTACCAACTTATTTAATCTAATTATGATACCAAGTCCAAATAATTATTTTAATATAATATTCTTTAATGAATGTTAAACTATAAATTCATTTCATCATAAAAAAATTTCATTATTTAATTACTTAATTAGTTTTATATGGTCCAATTTAATAAAATAGCCAAGAGTCGACTTTATAAATTAATAACCGTCCATAAATATATTTTGGTTCTACATTTGGCTTAGGTTGTCCAAATATTTATTTTATAATTCATTTTCCTTAATTATTCCTTTATTTTCGTATATCAAATAACCGGTCCATTTACAATTAAATATACTAATATTAATTTTTATTAATTATAAATGGTCCATAATGTCTTAGTTAGTCTTATATTTATCCTAGTTTACTCCAATATTTATTTCATAATTAATTTCGCCATTTACTTATTTATTTACTAATTGTGTACAAATTGGCCCGATTACCATTAAATAAATTAAAAATAGCTAAAAATATTAGTTTTCAATTCTGGTTGGTCCGAATATGTATAATCACACCAGGTATTTAATTTATATTTTTCCAGATTTTATTTATTTCATTTACTATTTCATTTTTAATTTTTATTGCAACTGGGCCGAACTGGCCCAAATTTAATTCTTCTGGCCCAAAAAATCAGGCCCACAAGACATTTGGCTGGGTGACTGGGTCGTCTTCCCCAGTGAAACGCCGGAAAAACGGGGAGGGAAAAGAAAAAACGGGGAAGAGGCTTACCTCGTCGGAAACGGCCAACGGGGTAGCGGTGCACTCCTCTCGGGACGGCGAAGGCCGGTGAAGGGTTGGCGGCGGCGACGGCGGCTCCTGCTCCTCCGTTTTCTGTCAGGAAAGTTTTCCGACGAAAACTCCGGCGAGCGTTTTCTCCCTCGTTTCACGACCGTTTTCAATGATTCTTCCTCCGTTGGATTCCTCTCACGAAGGGGAAAGTTTTAGAAGTGTTCTAACGGGTCGGTTTTTAGTATTTCGCTGGGTTGGATTTTGGATTATATATATATATATATATATATATATATATATATATATATATATATATAAACGTAAGTTTATAGTTGCAGCTTGGGAATGAAAAAAACGCAGGTATCACCTTGATGGTTCCCATTCTTCCGTTATAAGCTGCAGCTCGGTCCAAGTAACGGATGACTCCCCGCTGGTTTTGTTTTTTTTTATTATTTGAATTTAATGCCAATTAATATCATTACACCCCGCCTGGTCCAAGTATTATTACTCCGTATTGCATACGTTATAGCTTTACAAGTATGGGGTGTATATATGTTATGATGTATGTATGTGTGTAATTCATTCCATGCATATATGGGTGTATTATGTATGTATGATTAGTATGTATGCCATTATTATTCATTGTTATTACTACGTAATATGTGTTGTTGTTGTTATTCCTATGTGTCATACGCACATATGAAAGTATGTATTACTAAAAGTTACTTTTAGTATTTTGTGTATTAATATGTTATTTGATAGTGATAGAGTCACCTATCGTAAATTCAATATATTCATCATTTTTTTAAGTTTGTGAGGTGTCACAAGCCATGGGAAAGGTATTCTAGTTATGTTATAAAAATTCTGAAATAAATTCTACGTAGCAGAACTTCCAAATGACATAAATTCTGAAATCTTAATCAGGTACACAATTTGGGTCCTACTATACACCATGAGAGAATAGATTCAGGTATTGTTAGGGTGGAGGTTGTGGAGGTTTTGGATGCATCTGCATTGGTCCCAATTCCAAGTGAAGTGGTCCAGACAGTTGGACAGGCCCCCAATCAGTTCATTCAATGGCCAAAAAGATTGGTTGACCCTCACGTAAAGGAGTGGACAAATGGAAAGGTGATAAATAAATACCAACACTTGTTAATGAAAAACAACTCTTTTATTTTAGGATATGTCATAAATCAACATAGTAAAATAATAATAAAAAATTAACTGTAATAGTGTCAACATATATCTTCCATCCCCATTTTTGTTTGTGTAGGATAATGACAACCATGATGAGGACAATGCTTCTGATGAGAACAAGGGTCCAATATCACGTTTATTGACAATGACTACTCACCTTGGTCCACAACCGATAGAGCTAATCCTGAAAGAAGAAATAGTTGGGCGGTCTGCTATATCTCTTTTTGTTGGCTCTGAGGAGATATTAGAGATATGTGTGGGGAATCAAATGCTAAGTGCAGTGATTCTACAAGTATGGATAATGTAAGATGAATTTTTTGTTTTTTCTCATTGTAGTTATGTTATTAATCTTTTATGGAAGATAGAAGTTTCTAAAACTTTTTGTTATATATTTATTATGATTAACTTTACAGGCATTTGCATGGGATTTGTGTTCGAAAGGATACTGCACACCTGTACGGTTTTCTTGACCCACATACCACTCAAGATGTGGGGAACAAGCGTGAAGATATTCAAACTTATATAATGACTCAACTGAGTGAAGGAAACAAAGAGTGCTACTTACTACCGTACTACTATCCGTAAGATTTTTTATTTTATTATGTACTTTTCATTTTTACCCAGGTGTACTCCTACAATTTAAGCTGTCCGATATTAGGTCAGCCATACCTAATCATTTTGGATTAAATATAATTCAAGTTGTTACCGTATTTCATTGCAGTAACCATTGGCAGTTGTTTGTATTGTGCCCGAGGAAAAACTTAATTGTGTTCTTATGCTCTTTGGGGAACAAACCAAAGGCAAACATAAAGAGTACTCTAGATTTGTAAGACATAATTTTAGTAATATTAAATTGGTGAATTTATGTAATGTTTACATAACCTATAACTTCACTAACCTTTGTTTTCATTAGGGCGATGCAAGCACATCAAATGACAAAAAATAAAAGGAATTCCAAGCCGAAATGGATTAAGCCAATGGTAAATGATGTTTTTATTTATCTTCAAGTACTATAAGATGTTTATAATTTTTATGTTTATGTTATGATAGATAGTGCCCTGTTTGTATAAAAATTACATTTCAGCTTTGACTTTGTTGATTTTATGAGTCAAGTGTTCAATCGGATTGCAGTTTATTATTTCAGTTTGCACCTTATAGTTGTTTGATTATATTGTGTTATTTGAAGGGATAAAATCAATGCTACTATGTCTTGTGCAAAAAAAAAACATTTCAGCTTCTAGGTTATTGAATTTTTTTATCAAGGCTGCAATGTGTTCATTTCAGTTTGCAGCAACTTATTGAATATGCTCTGATTGATATTGCACCTTATTAGTAATGTAGTTTATTTGTACTTTATTGATATTTCAGTTCGTTCTTTATTGTTTTGAATTTCAGTTGATTTAATCAAGACTTTGTATCTGTTATTTTTGGACCATGTTGGGTAATGATGGAATTTTCAATTGTGTACTGTATAATATATATTGACTTGATGCCTTATTTATTTGCAGTCTCGAATGCAAAGAGGAAGTTTTGAATGTGGATATTATGTTATGAGACACATGACTACTATTATTTCTGCCAGTGTTGTGGATTCGTGGATGGAGGTAATAAATTATTACTCATGTTTCACTATATTTTTGTCTTTATTTCTTTTACTTAATTTTTACTTATTGGTTTATTGTTTTATTGATCTTGTAGATATTCAATGTTCAAGACCCATTTAGTGAACAAGACATCAACGAGATTCGAGAGCGTTGGGCATTGTTTTTCTGCGAAGCAACTAGCATTTAGTATTTATTTAGTAGAAATTAAACATTGTTAGCATATTAGAAAGTGATATGCAATTTTGTTGCAACTTGCCAACTCTTGAATTTTGATGGTGTAAAATGATGTTTAATTTTTGCTAGTAAGATTAATATTATATATGATTTTTGGATATTATGGTTGTTTTGTGAATATTATTAAATAATGGTTTTGTAAAAACAGCATTCATAAATATAATATGTTTAAAATGTAATGCAAGCTGACAAACCTTTCAATAACGGTTGATATTTGACTGACATTGAACGTATTTAATAACGGTTACATTGCGGAACCCATACGGAATGTGCTGTACAAAGACAACGTGTGTGAAGGACATTCGATAACGGTTGGATTTCAGCCGACATAGAATAAATTCTATAACGGTTGCGACAACCGATATGGAAAGCGCCCGAGTTTCTATAACCATTGGAACAATGTCGGTTCCCGAACCGTTATAGAATGTTGATTTTAACCGTTATAGAATGTGTTTTTCCCACTAGTGTATGCCCTCAATAGTTGAACTTTGGGGATTTTGTCTAGTGGGCTACTTTGCGGGCAGATTTCCCGGATGGAAACCTATACAAGAAATGGTGGCTAAGTGGGGAGTTCAATGAAAATTTAGACAACATGATAAAGGTTGGGTGATATTTAAGTTCAAAAATAAGGAGGCAAGAAGCAAGGTTTTGATGGAAGGCCCTTATACTCTTTTCGGTAAATCACTTTATTTGAAAGTTTTTTCCGAGAACTTTACTTTTGATTGTGAGGAATTCTTAAAGGTACCAATTTGGGTCAAATTTCCCTATCTTCCTATGCAAGCATGGCAAGAGGACATCATAAGCGATATTGCATCTAGAGTTGGTGTTCCTTTGACAACGGATAGAATAACCCAAGAGAAAGCAAGATCCAACTATGCGAGAGTTCTTATTCAGGTGGATGCTTCTAAGCCACCCCCCCTACGGCTTAAGGTGAAAATGCCAAATGGGAAGTTTCATATCCAAAAATTGATATATGAAACTTTCCCAAATTATTGTTTTCATTGTAAAACCTATGGTCATCATGCGTTTACATGTAAAGCTTTGGCCGAGATAGAAAGGAAAGAAAGAGAGGAAAAGCTTAAAGCTCTTGAGGAAGGTGGAGGGCAACCAAAGCTTCCATCAAGTGATCCTATAGCCGCGGCATTGCCTTTAGCCGCGGCATCCATGCCTAATGCTGCAACACTACCTAATGCCGCGACATCCATGTCTAATGCCGTGGCATCCACTATCCAACATCAACCTAAAGGGAAGGCAGCATATAGGAAGCTTGACTTGTACAAAAAGGCTCTTGCCGAGACATCTACCAAAAGTGTGGAAGGGGTACCCGTGATAGAGAAAGGGAAGGAACTTCACCCCTTTCTTAAGAGAAGAAGACTAAAGAAAATGGATGAAAGAAAGAAGAATATTGTTAAATCAAAGGAGAAAGCGAAGGAGGCATCCGGATATGAATCATCTTCTAATGATGAGGAGGAAGGATGTACCCCAAGGAAGATCAAAGGTTTCATGGATATCTATGATGATGAAGTCATCATTGACATGCAAAGGGACGAATATAGTGAACCTACATATCAAGTGAAGAACATCAAAGAGGTTAGTGAACCTAAAGTCTGAATTGACCACTCTTTGAAATTGGCTCAAGACAATGAACCCAGGGTGTGGTTTACCCAAAAATGCTTTGAAGAGCTTCCGGGAGTACACAAGAGAAAGAGAGGGTATGCCTACACAACGGAGTTTATGAGGAGTGTTTATAAACACTACCTTAATGGGTACTATGAAGATGGGCATCTAACGGGCAATGGAAATAAGGTTAAGGACATGAGGAAATTCAAAGGGAAGGAAAGCCATGTGGTCCAAGACATTAGGGAGGCATTTATGGATGATGTTATCACAAAAGTAGAGTTTGAAGAAGACGGTAAGGTCAACATCCATTTGATGCATGGGGAACTTGTGAAGGAGCAAATGACAAGACTTGATAATTACTTTGACATTGAGTGGAATATAGCAAGGAAAGGGATCATCTTCACCACCTCATGCTTAAGATCTCTCCCCGGGGTGTCATGCATGGATGAAAGGTATGTTTTCTCTTCCTACTTTATAGCAACGAGTTATCAATTATTTCGTTGATAGGTACAAAGGGTGTGACGAGATCCGGCAATGGAGGCAAGAAGAGAGGGACAATGTGAGGTCTCACAAGAGGAGGGGAGTCTCGGCACATAATTAATTTTATGTTTTTAGCATCATGGAACATAAGGGGGCTTAACCAAGCCTCAAAACAAAACATAGTTTCTTCATTTGCAAGGACAAATAAGGTGCGTATATTTTGCCTACTTGAAACTAAGATGTCTTCTACTAATTTTGATAGCTTTGTAAACTTTAGATTTAACTCTTGGAAATATATAACCAATTTTGATAAGATGAAGGGGGGACGTATGGATATCATATGGGATCCCAATTTTGTTGATGGTGTAATTTTACAAGTGGATAAACAACATATCCATGCGAGATTTACTTGTAAGGTTACACAAATGCATTTCTATGTCACTTTTGTTTATGCATTATATACTATTGTGCAAAGGAGGGAATTGTGGGAACATATAACCGGGTTAAGTCAAAATATTCTTTTACCATGGCTTGTATTGGGTGATTTTAATTGTGTAGGCTCTCCTTGTGAGAGGAGGGGTTCGGCCTCTCCTTCGGCCTATGCAATGCAACATCTTAATGATATGAAAATCCAATCTAACCTTTGTGATGCTCCTTCTACCGGTGAAACCTTCACTTGGAATAGAGGTATGACCTGGGCTAAATTGGATAGAGTACTTATCGATTCCTTTTGGTTTCAACAAAATGTAACATGTAAGGCTCATTTCTTTGAAATGGAATGTGAGTTTGATCATGTTGCCTCTTTGGTGACCATTGGAGCCGTGAACTGTTTAGGGTCTAAACCCTTCAAATTTTTTAATATGTGGCTAAAGCATGAAAGGTTTCATACCATTTTGGAGAGTGTTTGGAATAGAGATGTTGTTGGTTCGGCTCAGTTTAGGCTGGCACGCAAACTGAAACTTCTAAAACAACCCCTCAAACAACTAAACAAAGATGAATTTAGTCACATCACGGCTAGGGCAAAGGTGTCTAAAAAGGAGTATAAGAGAATCTATCAATTAGCTCTCTTATCTCCTTTGGATGAAAGCCTTAAAGAGGAATTGTTAAGTGAAAGAAAGAAAGCTCTTTTCTTAAAAGAATCTGAGGAAGCCTATGTTAAACAAAAGGCTAAGGTGAATCATATTTTGCAATCTGACAAATGTACTAAGTATTTTCATTCCATTATGAAGAAGAAGAATGCACAAAACTCTATTGCTTCCTTAAGATTGGAAGATGGAAGTCTTACCAAATCTTTGGATCATGTAGCAAATGAGTTTATTTCTTTCTTTAAAGGACTTTTTGGTACAAGGTTACCCATGCAGGACTATGACCCGGGGGTGGTCACTTCTGGTAAGATCATTGACCAGTCACTCATTAATGACCTTATTAGCCCTGTGACTAGTAAAGAAATTAAGGAGGCTGTGTTTGACATTGGTGATGACAAAGCCCCTGGTCCGGATGGCTTTTCATCCGCATTTTTCAAAAATAATTGGAATCTTGTGGGAGTTGATGTTTGTGAAGCTGTGAAGGAGATTTTACCTCAGGGACTTTGCTTAAACAAGTGAACCACACTGTGGTATCTCTTATCCCTAAGAGAAACCACTCCCCCACGGTGTCGGATTTTAGACCAATTTCTTGCACTAATGTCACTTATACGATCTTCACCAAAATTTTAGCATCACGGTTGGGGCCTTGTCTTTCTGGGAATATCAAGCTCTCACAAGGAGCTTTTGTTGATGGGAGACTGATGTCGGACAACATCTTCTTGGCACAAGAGTTAGTGAGGGGATATACTAGAAAAAGGCCTTCGCCTAGATGTATGATTAAAATTGATCTTAAGAAAGCATATGATACGGTTTCATGGGAATTTCTTGAGAAAGTATTATTGGATATTGGGATCCCCTACTTATTTGTAAAATGGATCATGGAATGTGTATCAACCTCTTCTTTTTCAATATCCATAAATGGTTCACTCCATGGCTGGTTTGAGGGAAAGAGGGGGTTAAGGCAGGGGGATCCCATGTCACCCTTGTTGTTTGTTATTTGCTTGGAGTATAATTCAAGGCTGTTAGAAGTTAGGACTTCAAATCCTAATTTACATTATCATCCTTTATGCTCCAAGCTCAAAATAACACATTTGGCTTATGCAGATGATCTGATGTTATTTTCTAAGGGAAATTATGCATCAATTAAGATTTTAGTTGATGCATTAACAGATTTTGGTAAAGTTTCTGAACTGATGGTAAACCTTGATAAAACCAATATTTTTCTTGGGGGTAATATGGAAAATAGGATACCATATATTCTTGAAAGAGTGGGCTTTCAACAAGGATCCTTCCCTGTGAGATATTTGGGTATTCCACTTGCTCCTCTAAGTATATCGGTAGCCCAGTTTTCTCCTTTGATTGACAAGGTTACAGATTACTTAAATGCTTGGAACCCAAAAACTCTATCTTATGCTGGAAAGGTTGAGTTGATTACTTCGGTCTTGCAAGGTGTCCAAGCCTTTTGGCTTGGTATTTTCCCTTTGCCGAGGACCATCCTGGATAGGATAACCTCTCTTTGTAGACTCTTCCTTTGGGGTGGTAAACAGGCTAAAGTTGCTTGGTGTGATGTGTGTCTACCAAAAAATGAAGGGGGGTTGGGTTTAAGGGATACTAAGGTGTGGAATAATGCCTTAATGTCCCGAACACTATGGAACATCCACTCTAAACAAGACTCTTTGTGGGTAAAGTGGGTTCATGGGGTTTACCTTCATGGTAGGGAGGTGTGGACTTTTGTTCCACACCAAAAGGATTCTAGACTTATGAAAGCAATTGGGAACGTCCGTGACTTGATTGTATCAAAATTGCCTTCCTTAGATTGGGCAGTGGACTGCCTTGGAAAGTTCTCCCAAAATGGGAAACTCTCCTCCT